ATCTCCAGTGCATGTGGCTGATGAAAGATTGTAAAAACATGTCACCAGAATCCACTAGCATCCTAAGATGCTCTCTGTAACTTTTAAATTTTGTTAATATTTAAGAAGAATATCTAAGCCTGGTGGTGTTGGCAAATGTTGTTAATCCCAGCACTCAAGAGGCAGAGGCAAGTAGATCTCTGTGAGTTTGAGGCCAACGTGGTCTACAGAGTGAGTTCTAAGACAGCCAAAGACATAGAGAAACCCTGTCTTGGAAAACAAAACAACAAAAAGTGAATCTAAATATATGGGGAGTGGTGCAGGTGGTTCTGGATGTTGAACCCAGGCCCTTGTGTACACTAAGCAGGTACTCTACTATTGAACTACTCACCCAGTCGAAGCATGTACTTCATCCCTACATAATTCTAACTTTAAATGAGTCAATTTCATTCACTTTAAAGTTATAACTAGGGACTGGAGAGATGGCTCAGAGGTTAAGAGCACTGTCTGCTCATCCAGAGGTTCTGAGTTCAATTCTCAGCAATCACATGGTGGCTCACAGGCATCTATAATGAGATCTGGTGCCCTCTTCTGGCCTGCAGAAATACATGCAAGCAGAATACTGTATACATAATAAATATCTTTTTAAAAAATGGAGCCAGGCGTTGGTGGCACACACCCTTAATCTCAGCAGGCAGAAGCATGAGGATCTCTGTGAGTTCGAGGCCAGCCTGGTCTACAGAGCAAATTCCAGGACAACCTCCAAAGCAAAACAGAGAAATCCTGTCTCAAAAAACCAAAAAATAAAATTAAAATTAAAAATTAAATTATATTAAAACTAGGTGTGCGGGGCAGGGAAGAGAGGCAGCTCAGGGGTTAAAATATAAAATATCTACTACTCTTGCAGAGGACCTAGATTTGGTTCCCAGAACCCACATTGTGCTCACAATCATCCATATTTCTAACTCTAGGGGAATCAGATACCATTTTCTGGATCCTCAGATACCAGGCACACATATGAGGTACACATACATACGTGAGGCAAGCACACACACGAAAAAAAGGAATACATTTTAATGCTATAAATGTAATTACTTTATAAAATATCTGGTATATGCTAATGTCAGAAAAAAGAAATTCCAGGCTTTAGAGAAAATTTTATGCAGATAAGTTTCAAATAAAGTTGTAATTTTGTAAAAAGTTAGTATTTGATGTCCCTCCCAAACTACATTCTCCAAGCTAAAAACTGTTTAGGTTGATGGGTTTTTTTAAGGGGGGGGTGTTTTGTTTCTCACTTACTGTTAATCAATCTATCAGTTTCTTTAGTTCTTAAGATTGATTTCTGTTGTAAGGGTTTCAGTAAAGTTCAGTTAAATAGATTCGGGTTCTGTGCACATTAATGAAGACACAGGCCTATTCTACCCAATTTATGATAGTAGAAATTATCCAGGCAAATTAGAATTACTTCCCATCATACACATACGTATCTTGATACGGTCATTCCTCTCTAAGATGGTGGTGTGGGAAGAAGATTTACTCTAAAAACAGAAAGAAGGGAAGGAAGGGATGGAGGGAGGGAGAGAGGGAGGGAGAGAGGGAGGGAGAGAGGGAGGGAGAGAGGGAGGGAGAGAGGGAGGGAGGAAGGAAACACTGGAGGGTCTCTGGTCCTATTTAGTTATCAATATCGCTGTGTGAACTATCTTTTAATTTATGCCTGTTATTTCATGCCATTGCACACAATATGAGAAAAATGGACTTGATTTCACTATTGGTATTTGTCACTAAAAGCATACACAATATGTCTCACGGCTTCATGGTGTGAAAATATTGTTTTTAAAACTTAAAGCAATGATGTTCGTTTTGACAAGAAACAATGAGGAATAACTATAAAAATGCTGGTCTTTCGTTCTGTTGGGCACATAGATTATAGCACTTGTAAATCATCATTTTTCCCTGACCCTGCCCTGATTGATGGTCTTCTATTGCCATATTTCTTCCTTTTCCTTTCATTCTTGTTTTTGCTTATTATGGTGTGTATATGTGCATATGTGTTGGGCAAGCACTCTATCACTAAGTTACAACCCCAGGTTTTTTATTTTGAAACAGAATCTCGCAATTTACCCAGGCTGGCCCTGAACTCACTCCATAGTCCAAGCAGGCTTTGAACTCAATGTTCTTCTGTCTCATCCTCCCAAGTGGGGAGGATGTTACATCACCAGGTCAGGCTTCTGCGGTGTTTCTTAAGGCTGGTGGAATGATTTAACCGTCTGCACTGAAAACATCATTTCTGACCTCATTGTCACTGATGCAAGAGTCCCTAAGGAAGGGACTCCAAGGTGCCCAAGCTACTCTTTTTCTTACAAAGTATGGACTGAGAACAATTCTACTGAAGCTATCCTCAAAGTTAAACCACAAAGTGGTTTTGAGACTATGTTAACATTTCAACCTTTATAAAATGCATTTTAAAATGAGGGGAGAGAACATCAGAAAAGATGAAATAAAATATATTTTATGGTAATCTCAGCCTTAAATTATACAAAATGTTAACACAGTGCTATCAAGGCAAGAGTATATAGTAGAACAGAATATTGTAGTCAGGGATATTCAAGCAAAATCAAGGTGCATCAATTACAGAATTTCACAGAGTACAATCTAGTGGCATAAAAGTCAATATAAAGGTTGAGTTAATAAATTTCCAGGAAAGTGTATATAAGTAAAGGACTGAGTACTTTTTCATCACTTAGACATTAATGCTCATGCACTGTATCCCTGGCACATTAATCTGGTTTTAATAATTTTTAAAAAAGACTCAATGCTTTATTTTACAAACTCCAAAGAATCAGAACAAAAGATTTTCTATGGAACTGGGTATGTTGGCACACACCTGTAATTCCAGCACTTGGGAGTTGAGGCAAGAGGATTGCTGCAAGTTTGAGGCTGGCCTGGGCCACATAGCAAGGTCATATCTCAAAAACAAAACAATGACTTTCCTCACTAAAATCATTATAGGAAATACTCTCAAACAAAAACCTTAACAGATCAAAGCTAGTGAGAGTGAAAAAGAGAAAAAGAAATATTCCTACCAAGAGTCACATAAGCTTATCAAGGAGAAACACTGTACAACCCCCAAAATGAAGGACTTCCTACAAATCAACTGTCTTATACTAAAACACTGTGTAACCCCCAAAATAAAGGACTCCCTACAAATCAACTGAACTATACTACTGAAAATCATCAAAGTCATGAGGAGCCAATGACCTGTCTCCAGAGGTAAAGGTGTTTTTCATGCAAGTCTGAGAATCTGAGTTCTGACTCTGGAATCCACATAGGGGTAGGAGGAATCAGGTCCACAAAATTGTCCTCTGAACTTGGCTTAGAAATTGACCCAGAATGTACACTTGTGCCTGCACACCAAGACTAGAAGCAGTGGTAGATAGCACAAATACATGACAACATTGGTTGCCTAACTATGGTCACTAAACTGGGAAGATGTAAGAAGTGTTCCTAGAAAATACACAATAAGGAAATTAGGCACTGATATTTTCAACTTAACTCTGAAATATGGAGAAAACTGTGCTAAGAGAGAAGGCGCCACAGACAGAGAATTCTCTGGAGGCTCTAAGAGCTCGCTATGCTGTCCTTGCAGCCTGCCTATTTGTCTGCAGTTATTTCAAAGCAAAAATCAAGCAAAATATTCTAGAAGCTGACACGAGAATACTAAAAATCTAAAACTTTTAGGATATTCAAACTTCATCTCTGAAGGAACCATTTGTGTCTTAGTATTTTATACAATTATACCAAAACATGAACAAATCTAATTTTTCTATTAAATGCCTTCCTCCTCCATTGTGTTGCTTTGGGGGGTAGGAATTCTTTCACTTTTGTATTTTATTTGGTGTGGCATGTACATGCTACTGCAGATGGAGATCAGAGGGCAACTTGGAAGAGTCTATCTTGTTTCCACCATGCTGTGTGCTCCAGGCTCATGGCGGATGTATGTCCTGTCCCTGTTTCCCATCTAGACACAGGGAGTGCTGTGGTACCAGATGCATGCCACTCCTTCAGGTTACTTCAGATGGGTTCCAGGGATCCATCTCAGATGTCCAGGCTTTCACTGCTAGCATGTAGGCCCAATGAGCCTCTTTGCTACCTTTTGTCTTTGTTTTATCAACTGTGGGCATAATCCAGATCTCCAGTATGTGCCAGAAAAATATATCAACAGCCCAGGTACTAGCTTGAAAATACATTAAGTGTTGCTTTTTTGCAGCTACCCTTTCTTTGAATGGTCCCTTAATGGTTTATTTTCAGTTTGTTCTGAAGTAGCTCAAATACAGAATGGTGGGTAGACACACAAAACAAAAACCCTGCCACATTGTCATATTAACAACACACTGTATTTTGTTAAAGTGTATATAATATTCCACAAAGTGACCTCATAATTGTACCAAAGGGTTTCTGTTCAGGACAAGGAAAGACAAGAGAGAGCTAGTTGCCCACCCTGTCCCCACAGTACTAAGCAAGTAAGAGGCTCAAAATAATATTGGTTATTATTAATAATAATGTATAATTAGGAATCTGGAGCCAGGTGGTAGTGGCATACACCTTTAATCCCAGCACTCCAGAGGCAGAGGCAGAGGCAGACGGATCTCTGTGAGTTCAGAGCCAGCCTGGTCTACAGAGGGAGTTCCAGGACAGCCAAGGATCAAGGATACAGAGAGAAACCCTGTATTGAAACTCTAGAAAGGAAGGAAGGAAGGAGGGAAGGAAGGAAGGAAGGAAGGAAGGAAGGAAGGAAGGAAGGAAGGAAGGAAGGAAGGAAGGAAGGAAGAAAAGGAAAAGGAATTGAGTTCTGTCCCTGGAACTCATATAAGGCAGGAGGAATCAGATCTACAAAACTGTCCTCTGAAACCGTGTCTAGAAGGTTACTGAAAGCATGTGGCAGCAGCATGATAAACAGATGCACAGAAATCTCAACATGCAAACACACTTCTGAAAGTGAACAGATCTCAGGCAACAAAGGCTTTCAATGAGGGCACATTAGTATTTATTTTGCCATTTTTGTAAGTTGCAGCTATCAGGCCTTTTACTGATACTAAATCAGCATTAACACATTCAAAGTCTTTCAATTTGCATATTATATAATTTATTAAGTTGTCAAGCTTACATAAAGAACTGTCAGAATTTTAGTGATTGTCATCAAATGTAACCAAATGTTGCTGGTAACAAAATTTCTCAGTGTATATTTTCAAATGCTTATGGACTTCAAATTCTATTTGATTCTAGTTCTGCTTCACAGGTTGGGATGACTTCAGGAGAATATCAGAGGTGCAGTCACAGCACAGTGAATTTCAAAACCTTTTTTTTTTTGTCCTAAAATCAAACCACCACTTAGCACTTGATACACAAATTGAGTTTAAAATCGCTTGATTCTAGGGGATACCAAACTAAATCTAAAGCTTACACATTTTAAGTATATGAATGTAAGTCACCAAACAGTTTAAGAACTCACTTTTATTAAAGCTGATGATAATTCCTACTTCAGGATAGTCTATAACTGGAAGGGGGGAAGTATTAATTACAGCTTCTTGGAGAGAGTGAAGATTAGACAATGCATGCTTTAGGAATATGCTTGAAGACATTCCCCTAAGACAGGCATTTAATAAATGTGAATGTTTCACACTTTGTCACCCAAAGTGGGGAAGTTCCCCAAAAAACTCTTCATCATAAAACTCAAGATGAAAACTGGCCAAGCAGTGTCAGAGCAGAATAAGGGGCAGCACTGATAATGAGTGATCTACTACACAGTACTCATTCAAACCGTCAGTAGCAGAGGTAACGGCAAAATGCAGTGTAACAAAAATAGCACCTCTGAAGAAAATCAAGTCATTGACACAAACCTGAAAAACTGTTCTGAACTCCAAACCACTATATGAAGACTTTCTATAGCAGCCAGTTCCACACAAGCCAGGCTGGATAGGGTGTGGTAGATGTTGACAGCAAACACACACAAGACAGAACACTTACAGCCACAATTGCATCTACATAACTACTGTAGGCAAAAGGTTCCTTTTCTTATCACATCTACATTAGCTCTAAAGTCAACCAGTCAATCCTTCCTATATTTTACCATAGGAGGGAAACCTCTAAAGATCCCTTTTAATTAAAGCAGAGGTGAGGTATTCTCCTTACGTCTTTCCATTAAGCAAGAGGTCATGGGCTTTGTTGTGAGACTTTTGCTCCCCAGTGTAATTCAGAATAAAATGACTGTTTAGATGACAATATAAAGTACCACCGAAGATTATCATACCATGGTTTTATAAGATACTTCCACAGATCACAGCAGCTTTCTCAACTAAAAATCTAGAAACAATTAATATGATTGGATATGTTCGTTAAACAGTAGGTAAAATCAGTGGTTTATCTAACCTCTTACAATCCTTATGATTGAGAAAGCTTTGTCTAATCTCTTACAATCCTTCTGATTGAGAAAGCTGTCCTTGAGTGACCAATGCAAACAAGAGTTGGTTTGCTCAATAAATAATGTCAACAGTCTAGAAAAATCCTCAAAGAACATTTTCCTGTAGCCGAGGATTCCACTCGGTGACAGGGCACTCGCCCAGCGTACTCAAGTGCCTGGGCTGTGTCTCCAGCAACGCCAATCCTCTCCCAAAGTAAATGTTTTCCAATTGTATCATTTACTCAGATATTTTTATGTTTCTTTTTATATCAAGAGCTTACCATATAAAATTATGTCCACACTTCCAGATATTGCTATTAATCTTAAATGTTGCCCTAGAATTTGAAACAATGAATCAGGGGTTCTAATACATTATTAATCACTTGCTACAGTTCTGTGTTGGCCTTCATTTATAAGTAAAATATAAATGTCATTGGTGGGTATCATGTTAAATGAAGCCAATTTCAACCTATTGATGTTAAAGCCTTGAGCATATGTTATAAAATATATTAGTAAAGGGAGCAAAACGTTCTTTTTCTCAGGTAATATATCCAATTGTTTTCTAAATGATTCACCCTTACCCCTCACCCACCAGTTTCAAACATTTGCCATTGTCAGAAATAGACGCAGCACAGCACGAAGACAAAGGCTGGCAAACACCACGTTCTTCCTTATATTTCAGGAAACAATACGATTCATGGTATTCATGAAGTTGTTTATTCTCGTTATTAAAACTTGGACTCAAGTAATCCGGTTTTTCTGGAAAAAGCACCTTGTTTGTAGGGGTCATTTAATCGTCCTTTTCTACAATCACCTCGCCATGAAGCACCTTTCTTCTTTGACGTAGCATATGAAAATAGAGTTGAGGAAACACTTCATTGGAGAAAGAAAACAAAGAAGGATGAGCTCTTGCTTTAAACTGCTTGAAGCCTGTAAAATGTGAGCGATCAGCACTTCATATAGGACTACTACACATACAACCTCCCAGTGCTTGTGGGGCTCACTCTAAGAGCAAAAATGGAGGCCACACGCTATGTAACACAGAAACTGCTGGAGGTTTTCCTGTCCTAGAAAATTCACATACCTTGATAAATACATTTTACATAAGAACATAGTGGCCATGTTTATTTTTAGAAATCAATTAACACTGAAATATATCAGAACCAAGGAGAGCGGGCCCACTCTCTGCTTTTCTCTGCTCTGTCAACTGTATTCGGCTCCATGAGTACCTACACGCACATGCAGGTGCACGTCCCAACACGCATCCAACCTTCATCCATAGCCACTATGAACAGCTACCCCATGCTCTCAGGACAGCACACATTGGTGACACAGTTAACCTTTGGTTTAGGGAAGGGAATGGATGGAGGGACTTCTGTCTTGCACACACATAAACATGTGCATGGATAATACCAGCTGGGTACATGATTATCTGTACAGGAAATCTGGAAAAATTTTAGCTGATATGAATCAAGACTTTTTTTGTTGTTGCTTTCAAGACAGAATTTCACTGTATAGCCCTGGCTGTCCTTGAACTCACTCTGTAGACCAGGCTGGTCTCAAACTCACAGAGATCTCCCTGCTTCTGCCTCCTGAGTGCTGGGATGAAAGGCGTGCGCCACCATATCCAGCAGAATCAAGACTTTCAATCACAGCATAAAGGCTGGTGGCTGAACAAATATATGACAGATACAAACTCCAAATGCAAAAATCTCCCAGAATGGCAAGGAAATTGATCACAAAAATTTTCAATATCTTCTCCAGGTAAACTTGTGGAAAATATTTTCAAAACATTTTTTTAATTTAGGCCAAATACTACAAGAATGTGAAATGGGTTTGATTTTTATTTATAAACTTCCCATCTTGATAAATGCAGTCATAGTATATCTAGAGGTCTAAACATTCAGGTCATGTATATTTAAAGCAAACTGAGCAATTACGATGAGCTCTCCTAGAAAATCCTAAGTAGTTTAATAGAAGGCACTGCATCTTGAGTACTTTTAAAACCATTCACTGAAATTCTCCCATCTGGAATGCCCTCACTGGTGAGTGAGAAACACATTCTCAGTGCCAAAAGAAATACTCAAATGTTACTTTTAATTATCGAAGAAAAATCCGTTGATTTCTCTAGGAATATCAGTAAGGATGTGAGACACAGGCCTCTGATAGATCGATCTTGGGCAAGAGGGACCTCCGTGACCACAGGTACAATGAGCTAGGAAGTTGCTACTGGCAGAGGTCAGACATGTCTCCCAGGTGTTCAGAAGTTATAGGATGAAGCTTTAAGTTACCTTCTCTTAAGATCTTAGTTTCTATGGAATAACCTCAGAGGTCACAAGAGAGGAGACCACAAACAGTTTACATGACCGCTGCCTCTGCTTGTGGCACATTGGCCCCATCTAGACTCTTATAAAGCAAGGGGTGGGACAAACAGTGTCTGTCCATCTTCCTTAGCTCACCAGTGCTGGCTGGGTGGTAAATCAAGCAGATGGAAAAGACAAGGAGAAGGCATCCTCTCACCTCTATTTGGCTTCAGAAAAGCTCCAAAGTTGGAGCTCTCATGGGCTGGCCAAATAATAAGCACATCCCCATGAAATAAAGAGGCCTTGTAGCCTGTCCAGCCGGATTTGAGACTGCATAAATGTCTCGCTTCTACTTCCTACTGGCATCCACCTCTAATTTTACTGAGAGGTTGAATGAATCTTGTTGACTTAAAAGTTTACCACTATTAGTACCTACAAGAAGAGAACGAAGTCTCATCAACTCACTGAAGCTGTTGGAAATGGGGAGAAACATGTGGAGAGGCTGAATTATTCAAAACATTTTAAGAAAAGCAGCTTTATTTCTGTCAAGTACATGGAACAGCACAAACAAGACCAAGAAAAAAAAAGCACTTGTAATAAATCTCAGGTATGCCAAACGGATAGAAATGATCTCAAGTTTTCTTGAGAATGCTTGTGATTCATACATAGAAATGTAAATGCTTGTCAACTGTTCTATTGATGCATGCTTTTAGAATGATTTAGTTTTTCTGTTAACTATACCAGGCATATTTAAATGCTTCTGAGAAAGCAATTACTTGAATATTAATTTACTTGCCTTTTCACAAAATCAGTTAAAAAAAGAAAAAGAAAAATACCTGACTCACTTCCATTCAGTTATTCTAAAGACAGACAGGTTAATACATTTTTGAGCAATTATTCCCCTTTCCCCCTCGCTTTTTAAATTAGTTTAGTGTGATATTCCAAACACTTGCATATCATATCTTCAATCAAAGTACTAATAATCCTATACTTACACGGTATATAAGAGGCCATGGTTATAAGAAGAAAATAGTAGTAGTCAAAAGAGACATTGTATTTGTTAGGAAGCCTTACTGAAAACATTCCTGACTTCTTCACGTAAGGCAAGGCAGCATATATTGTGAGAAGTTCCCCAGCAACTCCAACAGGATATAAGATGATAAAAAAATTATATCTGGAGAAAGAAAAGATAGGTGATAGTTTTTCTAGGCCAGTTCTTATATTTTATAGCACACCTCTTCTATTACTATTGTATTTAAACTTAGAAATCTCTCTGTACGCATTTACAATATCACACACAGTTGTTTTTTTTTAAATCATCCTTTTTCTAGTAGGAATTCCTATTCTAAATGACAACATAGGAATAAGAAGTCAGTTTACTCTATATGGTATTCAAATGTTTTTATAATTTATTTTAAAGTATATATATGCACATTTTGTTTGTCTCTTTTGAGATGTGGGAGTGTTATGTTGTCCAGGTCTGTCTTGAACTCCCCCTGGCCTCAAGTGAACCTCTTGCTTCAACCTCCAAGTAATTGACATCAGATGGGGCCACCGCGCCTAACTACACAGCTCTGTTTGATTCATTTAAGTGTTAAAATAATTGCTTCTTTGAGGTATATAGTTGTAACTGGTCCTTTTTTCCCTGTAGCTGGTCATTTACTGATGAATGCTGAGCCTAAAAAGGACCATTTAGGACCTAGTTTGATAGTTTATGCTTCAAGGGACTGAAACAGATATTTTAGGTTATTTGGAACATACTACTGAAGGAAACTGACAACATGACTTCCATCACCAGCTACTAGTAATTAGTACACTGTGTATAACCACTTTCACAACAAGCAAATTTTTACAGGAAAACCATCTGCATTTCATTTAATCCCCCAGTTGGTATGAAAACACATCTACAAAGAATAGTCATATAACTCAGCTGGTAGAGTGTTGCCAAGCATACAGTGGGGCTCTGAATTTGATCCCCAGCATTGCATAAACCAGATGATATGGCACACCTGTAGTAATGCCAGTACTTTGGAGATGGAGACAGGAGAAGCAAAGGTTCAGTCATCTTCCACTACACACTGAGTTCAAGGCCAGCTTGGGATGCACAACACTCTGGGGGGGAAGGTGTCAGGAGGGGCGTGTGGGGAGTGTTTAGAGACAGACAAACAGGGAAACAGAGGAAGAGGAGACAAAGATTAGAGAGACAGACAGATAAATGATATAGGTAGGTAGATAGATAGATAGATAGATAGATAGATAGATAGATAGATTATAGACAGACAGACAGACAGACAGACAGACAGACAGACCACCTGATTCCCATACACCACAGACACAGGAAGAGATACGTGTAGAACTACAGAGTAAAGAAAGGAGAGAGGCCTTTGCTGTTCCTATTTATTCTGCCCTGCTGATTTATGCTCCTCTGCTCTTCCCAGTCTTGTATAATTTGTGTATTATTCAAATCAATAATTTCCCACTTTACCTCTTAAGGTTCTATAACCAAACATTTATAATTCCTTTTCAAACAAAATACCTAATCTATTTTCTTAACCTCATGAAGTTTTCCAGTGAACTTTTTAATAGCATTTTTCCTGTTTTTTTTTTTCTTTGTTTTTGGTCTTTTTTTTTCTGTAGCTTTGGAGCCTGTCCTGGAACTCACTCTGTGGACCAGGCAGGCCTCAAACTCACAGAGATCCGCCTGCCTCTGCCCCTGAGTGCTGAGATTAAAGGCGTGCACCACCATAGCCCAGCAATGGTATTTTTTAAATAGTATTTTCACTCCCAGGCTGGTAAGAAGGTTCAGTGGGTAAAGATACTTGCTGCAAAGCCTGATGTGACGATCTGAGTGCAATCCCCAGGACCCACACAGTGGAAGGAGAAAGCTAACTCATTGCAAGTTGTTCTCTGACCCTCTTAGGAGCATCTGGAATGTGCAAGTACCTAAACACACACACCCCAAACAACAAAATGTAATTCATTTTTTGTTTGTTTTGGTTTTGTTTTTTAAGATAGGGTTTCTCTTTGTAGCCTGGGTTGTCTTGGAACTCACTCTGTAGACCAGGATGGCCTCAAGGTCAGAGATCTGCCCACTTCAACCTCCCAAGTGCTGGGATTAAAGGTGTTCATCACTACCAACTAGCATCACTCTTAAATAAATAAAAATTTAAAAATAGTTGAAACCCTTAAGGTCAGTAACAATTCATGAGATGGGAATAAATTGTGTAATTTATTTTACTTTACTTGTTAACCCAAAGATTCCCAATTGCTACCTAAAATTTCTTAGAGGAAATGCACTTCTGAAATTAAAATGAAAAAATGTATGAAATCATAACCCAACATAAAATTATCCAGGAATACTTTCAACTCATAAATAGAATCAAGATAGTCAATAGTAGGTCAAACTATAAATAGGAAACCATTTCTAAAGTGAAGTTTTATTTGAGACTAATGGTTTCCACATTTGAACTCAAATATGAATATTATTTTAGAATGTTTAATGAACCTGTAAAATATATTACATAGCTGTAGTTTTCAAGAGTGTTTGGACATGCCAGGTGGTGGTGGCACATTCCTTTAATCCCAGCACTCAGGAGGCAGAAGCAGGATCTCTGTGAGTTCGAGACAAGCCTGGTCTACAAGAGCTAGTTCCAGGACAGCCTCCAAATCTACAGAGAAATCCTGTCTCAAAAAGACAAAAAAAAAGTGTTTGGACATGAAATATGATTATCAATGATTTTGGCTGGGTGTGGTGGCACAGAACTTTAGTTCCAGCAATTCAGGAGGCAAAGGCAGGCTAATTATTGTAAATTCAAGGCTAGCTTTGTCTGCATAGTAAATTCTAAGCCAGCCAGGATGACACAGTGACACTCTGTCCTAAAAAATACCGTTAATGATTATAATTAAATGATACACATAAGAGGACACATATTTCAATGTTGAAAGATTTTATGTAAAACCTTTTGTTCTTGTTATTGTTCAACATGGTCTCACATAATGCGGGCTGGGTTTGAACTCAATAAGTAATAAAGGTTGGCCCTGAACTCCTTATCTTCCAGCTCCACTCTGGAAGAACTGGGACTAGGGGTATACACTACCATGTCCATATACTAAACCCTCAACACTAATGAAATAATGGAAGATTCCAATGCGACAAGTTGAAACATGAAATGGCAGAGTTCTGTACTTTTCTAGAAATTTATAACATGCAAATACATTCTAAACAAGAGACTCAAAACACTAAAAGCTAATAGGACTGACCTATGAAAACTTTGTAAACACAGTTCATGAACAAAGATGATGTGCTGAGTTAGTATGTTTGAAAAAAACAGAGGTTCCAAAGATTATCGTGGAAGTTGGTATGGACATGCATTCTAAGATTAGGGCCAACAGCATGCAAAGCTTCAAAGCTCTTCATAGTCTAATCCTTAAATGTGAATATATTTTCATATAGAACAAGAAGAAAAGGAACCTAACATGTAACAGTGCAACCTTCTCAAGACAAACGATGAGTAAAGATGTAATGTTAGAGCATTTGATTGTATGTAAACGTTAAGTCACAAATGTCTAAAAAGGAGCCAGAAGAATATTTTAAAAGTCTAAGAGTCTCAAAAATACAACCAATAGTGATACCTCTGTGTAATGGAATTATGAATAATTTTTAAAGTTTTATTTCCTTCTTTTGTATTTATATGTTCTAGTAATGTACTACTATAGAAATGATCCCTGAAAGTATAGTCTTTATTTATATGTTCTAAGTTATTATCATTAAACATGGATCATACATGAGTTTTTTTGGGTTGTTGTTTTTTTGTTTTTGTTTTTGTTTTTTGAGACAGGGTTTCTCTGTGGCTTTGGAGGCTGTCCTTGAACTAGATCTTGTAGACCCAGGCTGGTCTCACAGAGATCCGCCAGCCTCTGCTTCCCGAGTGCTGGGATTAAAGGGGTGTGCAACCACCAGCCAGCTTGAGTTTTATTTATTTTTATGTGCATTGGTATTTTGCCTCCATGTATGTCTGTGTAAGGGTGTCAGGTCTTGGAGTTACACACAGGTGTGAACTGCCACATGGGAGCTGGGAATTGAACCTGGGTCCTCCGAAACAGTAGTCGATACTCTTAACCACTGAGCCATCTCATCAGTTCCAATAAGTAAGTTATAAAAAGGTAATTATTTAAGAATATGTTAGGCCTTTATTATATGGGGATCTAGAGCAAGAAGGTAAGCAGCTAGCTATTAAGCATGTATTAACACAAATGTCAGAGGTGGTTTTGCTTTTTAAGACAGATGGTGCTGGCAGGGTTGGGACTAATTAGGCCAGGATGGCTTTGAACCCACAGAAATCCGCTTCCCAAGTGCTAGGATGAAAGGTATGTGTCACCACCTGAGCTTAAACATAAGTTTTGAAAAAACAGAAATAAGAGACATGATATTGTCTCTAATATCCTATGGCATCATTTATAATATCAGAAAGTTGGGAAGGATCTGAAGCCTATCACTAGAGATGTCTACTGTTCAGTCACCATGGAACACTGTGTGGCAGTATCCGAGTACCAGAGTTGAAGCTAGACTGACACTCACTCATGCTGGTTTGAAAATGCACAAATGAGAGGCAGCCTCAGCAATTAAGAGTGCCTGCTGTTCTTGAAGAGGACCAGAGTTTGGTTCCCAGCACTCACATCAGGGAGCTCACTAACACCTGGAACTCCAGCTCCAGAATCTGATGCCTCTGGCCTCTTAGGGCACCTGCACTCACATAGAGATACACATATATGTATATAATTAAAATAGTAAAAATAAATGTCCACATAACAATACTGTAGAGCAATCAGTTAGCTACATTTTGAGTAAACTTTAATATAATTCCCAAAATGGATATGATACTTCCCAAAACAATAAAATAAATGACCAACTGAGATTACTTAAGGATATGATTTGCTGGGAGATGTTTTTACACAAACTACATATTGGCGTTATTATTTGCCTATGACCATTAAAACTCAGATTTTAGAATACACTGCTAGTGACTCAAATGGCAACATTCTGGCATCATGGAGCTGTGACACAAACTGTGATTCTCCAGTGTTAGCTCAGCACACAAAGTCAGCATGCACGGGGCAGTGAGGAACTAAAGGCAAGACATTGCCACCTGGCCCATTTAATGAAGTGCGGCAAGTGGTCGAGGAGACTGAATGTGTAGAAGGAATAGCGAGTGATCTCGGTCACAGTCCAGGAGACCAGAAAAAGCGCCACGCTCTCTTCATTCTGGATCTGCAGATGAGAGAAAGCCACAGTGCTGTTGAACCTTGGGCCTTTTGTTCAGTAAGACAAGAATTTCCCTTCCTAAGATTTGTTGCCTTTTATTGTAATGGAATACAGGACACAATGCAGTCACCATTGTGTAATTGGTTATAAATGCAAACCTTAACCGTGTCCCGTAGTTGGAGTGGCTGACTACTTACTGATATCCCCCCCTCATTCCTCAGAACAGACAGCAGGTGCAACATCCCAGGACATCATTTCCTTGAAAGCTGAGTGGGAACAACTGACTCTTCCAACTTCCTATTAGTCATTAAATCACACAGCCTCCACTGTAATACTATGGTGGTTTGAATGAGAACGGTCCCCACAGGCTCATCTATTTAAAGCTTGGACCCCATCTGGTGGAAATGTCTGGGAAGGAGTACAAGGTATGGTATGCCCCTGTTGGAGTAGGCGTGGCCTTGTTAGAAGAGGTATTTTTCACTAGTGGGTGGGCTTTGGAGTTTCAAAAGCCCATGCCAAGCCCAGTGTCTCTCAGTCTTTGTCTCTGTCTGTCTGTCTGTCTGTCTGTGTGTGTCTGTGTCTCTGTCTCTCTCTGTCTCTCTGTCTCACTCTCTCTCTTTGTCTCTGTCTGTCTCTGTGTGTGTCTGTGTGTCTGTCTCTGTCTCTTTCTCTCTCTGCCTGCTGCCTTCGGATGAGGATGTTAACTTCCAACTACTGCTTCAGCACCATGCCTGTCTGCTTCCTGCCCTGATGATAATGGACCAACCTTCTGAAACTGCAAGCAAGCCCCGAATTAAATGCTTTCTTTTTAAGAGTTGACTCAGTCATGGTGTCTCTTGACAGCAATAGAACAGTGACTAAGACAGATGCCAACTCACTAATCTGCTCATTCATCTTTGTCCCTCAATTCGGACATTATAATTTCTCAGCTGGACCATTAAAACCATTTCCCAAGTGTTTTTCTTTTTTTTATTTGTTTGTTTATTCTCCTCTCAGATGACAGTTTTCTTGAAAATAAAATAAAGCATATAATAATAATAACAACAAAAACAATAATAATAAAATCAGATAGGTCATAAGATTTGAAACTTAACATTGATCTTTAACAGGCTAAAAATGTACATTCCAGCACCCTAACACTACATAAAGGTCTTTACAACCTGAGCTCTGCAGTTTCTCAGCCTCTCAATTTCTCGCTATGCTCATGCTATACTTTGTATTATTTGCAGACAGTGCCTGGGAACTTCTGTGTCTTTACACATGCTGATCCCTCTAATTAGAAGTATCGTTTCCTATACAAACCCTTTCTCATCTCTTTAGAGTCAGCTAGAAGATCATGGTCCCTGCAAACTTGCCTGTTAGGGTTTAAATTTGAAATGTCCCCCACAAGCTCATGTGTTGAACATGCCCAGTGGTGACACTACGTGGGGAGGTCATGGAAACTAGCAGGTGGGACCTAGCTGGGGGACACAGGTGTCTGGGTCTAGACCTCTTCAGGTTACACCTGCTCCCTGGTCCCTTATTCTCTCTGCCTCCTGTCTACTATGAGCCTAATAACCTGTACCATGTTCTTGCCTTCAGGATGCTCTCCGTCCTCTTGGCCTATAGTCAGTGGAGCCGCGGACTGTGTGCTGAAACCTCTAGAACCATGGCCTAAAGTGAATCTCTTCACCATTAAGTTGTTCCTGTCAGACATAGTGTCACAGTGATTCAGTCTAACACATGTCCCAATCCCGTGCCTGCTCAGCTTCTTGCTTGCCTTCCCATTTTGATATCACTCTTTGGAATAACACTTATCAGTCTGAACTACAATTTTTCTCACTCTCATACATCTGTCAGTGCCCAGCTTACATATACCTTGTCTACAGAAGCCTTCAAGCACTTCCTAGAAGAGACTAAACTCTAGATAGATAATGTAATGCATACTGGGCTTGCTCTTGTCTCAAATGCTTAAAACAAAGGCAACTACTTATTTAGCTTTTCTCCATCACAGGCTCCAGAGAGTAAAACCACGCTGACGGCCACATCCTCAACACACAGTGTCAGGCACAGAGTGGCTGCATAGCTGCTACCTCCTGCATGACCAGTGTGTCCCAACGTCCAGCACAGTGACAGCTGTAGCTTGCCTTACTCATTTCTGGAAATCCAGGAATTATCACTTCCAGATGTATAGAGTATGTTCAATAAATGTTGGTTGAGGTAATTGGGGAGTTGCTGATAACCGTCAATGGGAAGCTACTGTTGGATAAAATCAAATAGTAAAATCGAGGGATAGAGCCTCTGGGGGATGAAAAGACCCGGAGGTTCCTTTCCCCAGTATCAGGAAGTCCCCGTTTCTAACTTCTCTTTAATAACCCCCCTCCGTCTTTCTCTTCCCTCCTTCTTCACGTCCCCTGTAGTTCTGGCTAAATCATTATACGCATTCACTGCCTTGAATGGTCTTTCTGCTGTTCTGTCGGTGGTAGTCCTGCTTTTAAACTGGTAAGCAATGAGCGAACCTTTGGGCTGTGTGTGAGGTGTACGCTCAGTACTGTCTGTACTGCATAGGGTTAGGGACAGGTGGTTCATGTCACGTCAATGAAAGGTCCCAGTCAAGAGGGCCAAAGTGCAGAGTAGCGAGAGGGCACGAAGTCGGTGATCTGTCCCCACCCAGACAGGAGGCCAGGGAGGCTCAGAGGAAATGGAGAGAAGGTTAGGTGTCAGTCCCAAAGCACAGAAGAGACCGGAAAGGAATCTGCAGGACGGAAAAGGGGCCAGAGATCTGTCCTCAAGTGGACAGGAGATACGGAGGCTGTCAAGAAGGTCAGAGGGGTTGAGCTGAGAAATGTTTCTGACATGGGTTTAAAAGGCCCAACATCCTCCGAGAGACTTGCATGGTGTTTGTTTTGTCTACATGGTTGAAAGCACTAATTAGACTCAGCAATTAGGTCTGTCTGCTGTCATGCCTCCATAAATAACATGTCTTTTTTTCCTCTAAGTTCTTTAACTTTAACTTTCAATTTTTATTTTAATTGGCAAATTAAATTGCACATATTTATGGTACATAGCATGCTGTTCTGAAATATGTATGCAATGCAGAATGGCTAAATGAAGCTAATTAATGTGTACTTTACCTTTGCATATTTCTTAATTATTTGGGTAAACACAAGATCTTCTGTCAACAATTCTCAAGTAGACATTGTCATCATCTGCAGTAATCATGTACAACAGCTCGCTTAAACTTACTCTTCCTGTCTGAGATTTGTATCTTTGGATTTAAAAATGATAACTTTTAATTCAGGTCTTTTATATGTGTTCAAGGCATGTGGAACTACATCTACTTTTGCCCATTCCTATAACACCTTGTGCTAAACAAGGAAAAGCAAATGAGTCATTTACACCGATGACTTCAAAGATTAAAAAAAAAATGACTTGGTTAAGAAGAAACGTCATAGAAAAAAAATTGGTTGGATGGAAATGAGTGTTCATCTTAACATCCCGAAAATGCAGGAGGAAGAGATGTTATGAACTAAAGGTGACAGGACTGCCCCGTTCTATATCAGTGGAGAATCACTCACTGCCCAATCATTCTGCCCCCCAAAACATGGCAGTATTAATACTTTAGATTTGTAGGAACGAAAAGCTCTTACAACATGTCTGCATCACTTACGGGTTTTATACTGTGAGTAACGAGCCATACCATGAAGATTCTTGAACTCACTTGGACCCCTGTCACAAGCACAGAAGTGGGTACAATCCCTGGAAGAGAAATCAGGTTAATGATTGCCTCAAAGGTAGCTTATAGCAGTAGTATAAAATTAAAGCAAAAACTCACCAATCAGACAGTGGACTACCTGTAGGGAAATTGAGAAATCACAAGTCAATAATGTGAACATTCAATACCATCAGCAGTGGTAGCAAAGAAGCCCACAGGTGTCACATAACTAGCAAATTAGGATTTGATTGTTCAGCTGAAATACTTGCAAATAAACACCAGAGTAGACAAACAGTATATTGAAAAACTTACCTCAAGCAAAGCCAATGTTTGGAAAAATTTAAGTGTCTTCTGAATGCTTTTATATAAACCTCTGTGTGTTCCTTTTTCCATATAAAAGCGTACCATAGCAATAGCTAGAACCAACCACCTAGAGGAAATAAAAGTATTTTACAAAGTTCTATCAAAACTAACATTACTGATAATGCGCATGCAATTATAGCAGCATTATTTACTATTAGCAATAGCTAAAAGGCGGAAGCATCTAAGGTATCGATCAGTGATTGAACAGATACTTCATGTGAACTGTCAATACTTTACTTCTACAGCACTAAGTCAATCTACAGCGACATCTAAATTCAAGCCCACCTTTTTTCATTCATTTTGTTTTCTGAAATATTCCAGTATTAATATTTTATATTACTGTCCATGAAAAGCTTTCTTTTAGGCCCAGGTTATTATTTGGTCTTTAAAAAGAAGGGACTTCAATATATGCTATGACACAGATGGACCCTGAAGACATCAGGCTGAGGGAAATAAGCCAATCACAAAAGGACAAATACTGTATTTCATTCACATGAGGCACCAAGAGTTATCAGAATCATAGGCACGGAAAGGTTGGTGGTTGCCAGGAACTGGGAGAAAGGTGTGAATGGGAGTTAGTGTTTAATGGATACAGAGTTTTGTTTTGCAGGATGAAGTTAGGGATATGAATGGTGATGATGACTACACAAATTTAATGTACTTAAAGCCACAGGACTGCATATGTTACAAAGTTTAAGGTGGTCCATATCATGTGTTTATCCCAATTTTAAAAACTCACTAAATCTCTTGAAGAAATGCCAATAACTGTATAATAATATTTGTGTTTTATCATTCTGAGTTCATTATATTTAAAAAAGCATCCCAAGGGAAAAGATAACAAATGACATTCTATAGAATATAGATTCTAGGTTCTATAACTTAGAATCTATATTCTAGAGTAATAATAGAATTGTATATTCTATAGAATACACAGTGTGCCAACTACTAACAAAACAATGACTAGGATATTTTTGTTTTTAGCAATTAATCTGACAGACTAATGGAAGAAGTTGAAGGTAAAAAAATAAGATTGTCAAAGCATTCATAATTATATGATGGTATGGTCCCAGTTTCTTTCTATTTCTGTGATAAAACATTCTGATCAAAAGCAGATTATACTTCCAGGTCACAGTTCATCGTGAAGGGAAATTTGGGAAGGAACTGAACAAAAAACCACGGAAGGATGAATGGCTTACTGGCTTGCTTCCTTGCTCATGCTCAGCTAGCTTTTTTTTTTCTGTAGAGAGTCCAAACCCACTTACCTAAGGATACAACTGCCCACAGTGGGTTAAGACCTCCCACATCAGTCAACAAGTAAGACAATGTCCCACAGACATGCCCACAGGCTAATCTGATCCAGGAATTTCTCAGTAGATTTTCCCTCTGCCCAGGTGGCAAACTAACCAACACAAGTCTCAAAATAAAAAGCTGTATTCATATAAAATATAGTATGTAGTTTACATAGGCACACCTAGAAATCTTTAATCAGAAACATTTATTGATCTTCACAAAACAAAACCTATGATATAAAAAAAAGATCCATACAGATGGAATATGAGCCTGCTTTCAAAGAGTTACTGTTGTTGGAAACAGGGTCTTCCTATGTAGGCCTGGCTGGCCTAGAACTCACAGTGTAGACTAGGCTGGCCTCAAACTCACAGAGATATTCCTACCTCTGTCTTCCACATGCAAGGATTAAGGATACATGCCACCACACCCAGCCAAAAGTTGATTTTTTTTAAAAGAGGAAAGAACCCTTGTCAGCTTAAAGATGTATGTCAAATATGCACTCTCCTACATGACCCTAATTAAATATGCACTCTCCTACATGACCCTAATTAAATATGCACTCTCCTCCAAGAGCTAACACTTAAAAGCCGCACTGTGGACAGAAGCTTTCTAGTACACACATCTCACTCTTCCTATAGTTCCTGATGAGTGCTAACTTCTTCCTGTTCCCTCTCCACTCCTAAAGGTCAAGAAAGTTGCCTTATCAGTAGCTTTTAAAAGCCTGGAACACTCCATCCATGGACATGAGTAGCTATCCTAGGTTTTAAGATAGGGAGGTATCAAAGTGTACAGTCAAATGCATTTCTGAACTATATGATTATCATAGTTTAACTTTTTTACTAAATGGCTTAAATGGATTCCTACAAAGACAGCAGAGACTAGTGCAGACTTGACAGAATGGAAGGACAGAGGGACACATGTAAGACCACCCTCCCCTCCCCCTGCTCAGCATAGAGCATACTGAACAAAATGACACAAAGCCAAGCAAATGTTTAAAACCATCAGATTCTTGATTACAGCAAAGACAGGGATCTATGTTTCAGACATGGTCACATACATAACCAATGTTTGGTCCTTGCAGTATGCTTCTGAAGGATTATTCTCTTTTCCTGCTGAGGAAGCAGACAGAGGGACATACAGCTGAGCCAGCTGAGACCTAAGGCCACTCTCTCAGAGTGACGACATTAACTTATTAAGCTTACTGCTGAGGACAACATGGCTCAGCAGTAGATGGATGAAACCCTAGTCTCAATCCTTAACAAAAAGGGTGCTGAACTTGGAGTAAGATAATGGGCAAGACTGGGATGGACCCTCTGCGGTCCCCAAACCTCTGTCCCACCACATCACAGCTCTTTTTTTTTTTATTCTGCTCATGAATCTGTGAAGGCCATTTCTGGAATCAGTACTGAGCTAATCTAAAGCACTGGCTTGACGGTGTTTTCGTGTTTTAGGTACCTTCCCAGCTCAAATTGTAAAGACTATCCACCTCAGTTCTAAGTCCCCTGGTTCTAATAAAACCAGAGAGTTAGTGAAGGCATATTCATCCACTTTTTCCATATGCCTGTCTTTTGGAGGCAGGGACAACTTAGCCACCTATAAAATTTAAATTTGAGAGGCAGTTACTAAGTTAATAAAAAAGTCATCAGAGCATTAAGGACATTTTAGACAGCATTTATGTGGTATTTCAATTTTGGTACTTTCCCATAGGTGGCAGCATTGTACCAGCTACAGACTACACAGCACAAAACAAATGGACACGATGCAACTGGAAAGGACCACCAGGGATATATTCTGACTCTATCTGCTGTTCAGTAAAGAAGGCCAAGACCTTATATAAACTAATCAGAGCTCATTTCCCAAGCATACCCAAAGTTTCTCTAAAAGCCCTACATTTTGCCAACTTTGGGTGTCAGTTTAGCAATTAAAAAAAAAAGCCATAAGCAATGGGGATTTCTCTCATTATGAATTAGTTTGGGGGGGGAGTTCTGTTCTATTTTGCTTTTCAAATGTGCCAGGGATATTGATTTCATGAACTCAAATAGATTCAATCAGCCCTTGACAAACCAGATTCTCAAGCCAGGTGTATTGGTGCACACCTGTAATGCTAGCACACCAGAGGCAAAGGAAAGAGGAAAGCTTCAAGTTCAAGGCCAGTTGGATCTACATAGCAAGTTCCAGGCCAGCCAGCGCTACATAGTGAGACTGTCTCAAACCAACAAACAAAACCACCAGATTCTCTTTGGGCAAAAGCAAATAAACAAAAACCGTTTCAAAGAAATTTTTGCTTGTTTGATTTCCCTCATTCATTAATTCGTCTTTCAGCAAGTATCAATAAGACAGGTAGGCACTAAGCTAGATGCTGAGGACTAAAGATAATTAGGACATGATTTTTTTTTTGCCCTGGGCACTAAATTAGCAAGTAAAGATTAAAGGACAGTGCTGTGACAAGAAACATAAGCCAGAACCTACAAAATGAAAGGGTCTTTTTATGTTACTCTGGCTACAGTGTCCTTAAAAAGCTTATCTTTTTCTTCTAGCTACCTTCTGGCATTTCTTTTTTTTCTAGATTTCTTAGACATTGGGTGGCTAGGCCTGCAGAGTGCCCCACTGTCTAGATCTTGCTAATTGGATACCTTAGGTCATTTACTATATTCTGCTTCCTACATTCTTGTAAATTGGCAGTTAGTTCTAGGGGCTCTATCAGACTCTGGCGAGAGTACTTAACAAGTTGTTTGGTGTATTTCTAAAGGAGCAAACCATTTCTAGCTGTTCTTTCTTTGTGATGTTAGTAACTATGGATGTTCTCTGTCTGCACCCACCATTTCAACTGTTATTGGAAAAATAACACCCTAATTTGAAATTTCTTCTTTGTACCACCTTTAAGTTAGTGATTAGGCCTGCAGAAGAGATGGTCTCCAACTCTCACACAGCTGAGCTTTCATATACGATCCATTAACACCTCTTGATTGCATTTCCTAGACTGACTGCAACAAAGCACTCTTGCCGATAGAGTAAAACTGGAAGGTTCAGAGAACTAGACTTAAGCTTTGGACCACCTGCTCTTTGAGAGCCACTGTTAGAAGATGAAAGACAAACTGCCACCAGAAGATATTCGCAAATCACATACCTGGCAAGGGGCTATTTAAAGAAATCTTAAAAGTTAATATTAGGAAGCCAAACAACCCATCAAAGGAAAATAGTTGGCAAAAGATGTGACCAGAGATTAAACCCAAGAAAACATACAAGCTTGCCAGCGAGTAAGTGATGAAAATATATCCAGTATCACTAGTCATGAAAACGAAAATAAACTCAAAATGAGAATATACATATACTTGCTGGGTGGCAAGTTTGGCACAGGCTAGAATCATTTAAGAGACAGGAACCTCAATTGAGAAAATGCTTCCATAAGTCCAGGCTGCAGGCGAGCCTGTAGGGTATTTTCATAAATAGTAATTTGATGAGGGAGGGCCCAGTCCATTGTGAGTGGTGCCATCCCTGGGCTGTGGTCCTGGGTTCTATAAGTAAGCAGCACCCCTCAATGACCTCTGCGTCAGCTTCTGCCTCCAGGATCCTGCCCTGTTTGAGTGCCTTTCCTGACTTCCTTCAATGATGAACACTGATGTGGAAGTGTAAGCCAAATAAACCCTTTCCTCCTCACCCTGCTTTTAATCATGGTGTTTCGTCACAGCAATAGCAACCTTGACTAAGACACTGGGTGTCAAAAAGGAAGACCACAGGCCGGGAGTTGGTGGCACACGCCTTTAATCCCAGCACTCGGGAGGCAGAGGCAGGTGGATCTCTCTGAGTTCCAGGCCAGCCTAGTCCACAGAGCTAGTTCCAGGACAGCCTCCAAAACAATACAGAGAAACCCTGTCTCGAAAAACAAAACAAAACAAACAAATATTTTGGATTGATTGTCCTATCAAAGCACATTCAGTATAGCAGTGAAAAAAAATCTGTTTCTTTCATAATTTCAAATTAAGCACTAGGGACTGGAACTAGTATCTTGGAGTGTTCACTGTCCCCCAAACACTTCTGCTAAGAACTTCAGATTCATCACCTCTTGACCCTTGTCATAATCGAGCAAACAAGTTGTGTTGTTGCAGTTTCACAGATGGGAAAACTAAGGGTCAGAGGCCAAACAGCTTATCCAACTTGACTCCCCCAAAGAACAATAAAACGGAATCTTTAAACGATGTATTTTATGTATATGGGCACTTTGTCTGCATGTACATCTGCACACCAGAAGAAGGCATCAGGCAGTTGTGCTGCCAAGTGGGTGCTGGGAATTGAACTCAGGACCTTTGGAAGAATAGTCAGTGTTCTTAGCCACTGGGCCATCTCCTCAGCCCCTAAAACAGATTTTTTTTTTTTTTTTTGGTTTTTCGAGACAGGGTTTCTCTGTGGCTTTAGAGGCTGTCCTGGAACTCGCTCTGTAGACCAGGCTGGCCTTGAACTCATAGAGATCCACCTGCCTCTGCCTCCCGAGTGCTGGGATTAAAGACGTGCGCCACCAACACCTGGCCTAAAATAGATTCTTTAATGAACCCTTTTTTTAGTATTTACAAAACAAAAACCACGCGTCAGCAAGGCACTTGAAGCCTTGCAATGGGTGGGTCAAGCCAGCTGTCTGTCTGTACTTCCAGCCATTGCTGTTGTTTAACCCATGTCTCCCAACCTCGCATCTCGATCCTAACACACGTAACACATGTATCCTCATCCTTGCCCGGCAAGTCCTACTCACCCTTCCGGTGTTTTCATCTCCTTCACAAAGGCTTCTCTCAGTCTCCCCCTGCTCCCGGTACTCAGGCACTTGTTTTGTATGCACGTATCCTAGTCTATCTTTATTACAGTTATCACCTATATATAAACGCCCAGGCTATGTTTCTTCAAGGATGAGCCTGGAATATTTGTCTTATATTCCCCACTTGACCTAAGGCAATGCACTACCATCTACAGGCTCAACGGTGTTTGTTGAAAAACAAGGCACAGGCGCTCACCACTCTAGTTAAGAACCTTTTCTGAGTAAGCCACCTTCCATCCTTCGAGGGTGCCCCCAACTCTGGATTTACCTAGAGCCACTAATTCCACAGCATCAGGGTAGGGGAACGTTAATGACACTAGGGCCTGACTTAATCTGTGATTTACCTTACTTCTATACAGTCTTATGTAGCTATGAAAGTCAAAATGACTTAATTACATTTTAAGTGAAAATGGGAGTTTATAGAGTAGCTATTCATCCCCAACGTTTTACAAAGTAAAATAAGTATTCATTACTTTCTGGAGCTTACAATGAAGAATTAGTAAAATGCATGGTGTTGTTGAGTGACAGTAAGTGGGATGGAGAAAAACCAAGCAGTCAAGGTGTGCTAGGATGTCTGTGAAGATGCCCAGGTAAAGTCTCCCTGACGACAGAGAGTTGAGCACAGACTTCAAGGAAATCAGATACTCAAATAAGAGTAAGGAAAAAATGAAAGCTTATAGGAGGCTTATGGAATTATATGGAGTAGTTCATCTGGATGGACTCTTGATGGAAATAACACTGGGCCCTCTCGGTACAAGCAGACAGACATTAGGGTAAGCACTGGCTTGCTGGATGGGGCCGAACGGGAGTGAAGCATGAGAACGCACAGCACAAGTCATTTCAGCTGTCTCCGCTGAGGTCAGGGGAGCCTAAAGAAGTCCAAACAAGCTGACTCAGTCACCAGAACAAGGATGACATCAAATTCTTGAAAGCGCGAACAACCTGTGCAAAGATGGAAAGCGCTGCAAAATGAACACTGAAAAGCAACGTTGGAGCGTGGACTGGCCGGCAAAGGGTCAGCCAATCAACTAACATGGGGTGGGTATTCCAAAAACGTTTAGTGACTGGATGAGACTATCTGGGAGGAGAAGCGAGTCTCTCAGCCCCTGCTGCATTTTAAGGCAGCAGCCCACGGTGGACACTGAACTGCCTGCCAGGTGTTTGAAGCCTGTGAGTTTTCTGAACTTTCAAATGTGACGAGAGCCAGGACAGCAAGATGAAGTTGCACAGCTCTGTAGTCAGTCTCAGTGGAAATCCATGCTTGACACTTTCTGGTTAGGATCTCTTGACAGCAACTTAAGGTCTCTCCATGCCTCACTTTAAAATACTGTTCTGTACCCCTCACGGGATTGCAGAAAACTAATAATGAGATCATGTATCAAAAAAAAAAAGCAAAAAGCACAGCCCCTGGCATCCAGTAACCCCCACAAAACACATATTTATGAAATGTTTGCTATTCAGTATCATAAATGCATAATACATGATCAGCAGGAACACTTGTTAAGTAGAACAACCACATTTTTCTACACTTAACCAAGAGGTCAATTCAATCACACTTTTTTCTTTAAACCTCAGAGATAGTTTAAAATACTAAACGTTTCCTCACAGTCACGTAAGTTAAAACTTCCGAGGATATTGAGAAAGTTACTTTCTAAAGGCAAGGTAGCTAAGGGCATTTTCATAATGGTTGGAGTCACCGTGGACACGTAAGTCATTTGACATCTCTTTGAAGACCGATCAGTCACACTAAGCCTGAAACTTTTAAAGAAGGACGGGAATCTGCAAAGGATAAGGCCACAGCGATGCTGGACACCTGCCCTGACCCAATCAGGTTAGGTGTTCCAAGCCCCAAGTAAGCATTTCTAAGTGCCATGCTTAAAAAGAAACAGTAGGTGAAGACACTGCCTCCCGATTGCAGCACTAGTAACCACACGCCCGGGGTCCAGTGTGCACTGCTCGCGGACAGCTCCCGGCTGGGGTGAACAGACCCCAGCATTTCTACAACAGCAGCGGGAGGCGACAGGGGCGGCCGGGCCAAAGTCGCCTCCCCCTTGGGTCGGCCCCGCATTCCTGCCCAAGTCTATACTTAACCTCCGGCCCGCGCCCCGTGCCACGCCGTGCACCGTATTAGGCAATGCCCAGCGAGCGGCGGCCGGCCGCCCCGCCCCGCTCCATTCAACCCTCCTGCGCCCCTCCCCCACCGCTCCGCGCGCCCACGCCGCGCCGCGACCCCCAGGGGCCCGGCACGCGCGCTCTCGCTCTGGGCGTCCCGGCCGCGCGCCCAGAGTGCTCCGACAGTCAGCGGCCGAGCGCCTGTGCTCCCCGTCCATGTGCTCCTGCCGCGCCGCGACCCCCGGCCGCCCAAGAAGCGCGCTCTCGCACCAAAAGACCCCCGCCGCGCGCCTCCGCCTCGACCCCTCAATGCTCCCCGTGCTCCCGTTCCACCCCATGCGCGCGCCCTCGCCGCGGCTCGACCCTCTCCCCCGCCCCCAGCAGCCCCGCGAGCGAACGCGCGCTCCCCGCGTCCCCGAGCCCGGATAGCGGAGAGATGGCTCAACTGCGCGCGCGGAGCGTGGCAGGACCTTTGCGCGCACGTACCCGGCGGTCATGGCGATATTGTAGAAGGTGAGCCAAACGGTGGCCAGGAAGCCTAGGCGTCTCCTCTTGCCGATGGCTTCCTTCTCGTCGCCGGCCTCCGAGGAGCCGTTGGTGCCGTCCTCCTCACTGGACGCCATGGTGACCGCGCACGCTGGCCTGGAGGAGCAGCGCACAGGAGCGGGAGGGGCCGGCCGAGAGAGCCACTGAAGCGCCGCTGCCCGCTGCCGCCGCCGCCTCTGCCCAGCGCTCCATGTGCGACGCGCGGGGGGTCGGCGCCGCCAGCTCGGCCGCCCGCGAGGGGGAGGAGCGCGCCCCCGGCCGCGCGCTCCGCCCCGGCGCCGCCTCTCGGGAGCGCGCACTTGGGGCCCCGGCCGGGGCTCAGGGGTGGGCCAGCCGGGGTCACCGCTTCGAGGCGGTACTGCGCAGCGCGCTCCCGCCGAAGAGCTGTCCGCGCTGGCTGCGACCTCTTCCTAGAGAGACGCGGGCAACGCGCGTCCTGGCGATGGGTGCCTGGCTGGTACGCCTTGTCCAGACTGAGCGAGCGCACATGGAGTGGCGAGGGTTCTGCCCCGGGAGCAGGATCTCCCCACCAAAGCCTGACTGTCTTCGAGCTTCTGGATAAGCAGCGCCCGTGTAGCTTTGTCCCGTGTTATTACTGGGCCAGATGGGTTTGTGGGTTCTAGCGAGTCTTTTCTAAAGTTGCAAAGGGAAGCTGAGGGAAAGGACATGGCAAAACTCGGATAGGTGTTAGGGTTCACACAGGAAACCCAGACGCAGGGTTAACAAGTTCCCTGTCCTATTGGGAAGAAATGCCCCACTGCTCTGCACACGTAATCTCTCATTTTTCTCTTCCTTTCCAGAACCATCCTTCTGATAGCCTCCATTCCCTTTATATAGTACGTGGATAAGAAAGAAGGCTCCGGAGTCAGCTTCCAGAAATTCAACCCCCAAATTCCTGACTCCACCTGTGTGTGACTTGGTAGTTTGTGTATGCCTAAGTTTCCTCAAATAAAAATAGAATAACGCACCTCAGAGATGTAGAGTTAAGTAAAATATCCATCAAAAGCAGGTATTGACATGCTACAGTTTGTCACCTCAAATACGCATGTTAATACTTTTCTGATGACCTTGCTTATAATCCAGGGAAAGAAATTTTGCGAAGGGCAACTGAAGGTGTTAGGCTGTTCCTGAATGGGAGTCTAGACACTGGCAGAGAGGACAAATGATTACAGGCTGCCTCATGAGCAACTCTCAGTGTGTACATCATCCTGGGCAAGGACTAGACCTGGGAGAGCTCATCATGGCCAGGAGCATTTTCTACCTAATTTGGGAAATGTAGGGTGAAAAAAATTAAGTTAGTCCTTGCAACAGGAAAGTGTAATATGGATAAGTTTACTATGCACATGCTAGGCCTGCGCACTGAAAGTAAATCACTGCTTCAAGAGAGACCTTGGAATCCCAATGTGTTAGATTGTCAGTTCTCTCCAAATGCCAGTGGATTTTATTTGACAAGCTAAAATCTAAAAATCCATGGAAGTGTATGTGTATGTACAGAGCCTGCTTTAAGCCTTACCCTAAAACGACAATCTTCAACACAGCATGGTAAGTAAGGGGAGGCGTGGACCAGTGTTACTGCAGAGTCCAAATACACTAAAAGCTGAGCTAATCCAGTGTGGGAATTGTAATCTTTTCAGTAGAGGGAACAACTGGATGACCACATACAAATGAATCTCACACCACAGACACGTGCTAATTTCAAAGTAATCATAGAATTAAACACTATAAAACTTCTAGAAGAAAACAGCAGAATCTCTGAACTTAAGAATGGCTAAGATTTCTTAGGTGTGACTACCACAAAATAAGAAAGAACAAAGTTCAGGGGTGGGGGGGTGCAGGACAGGATGATGACAACAGCGGACATACAGGGAACCCAGGTATGGGCTCACAAGTCCCTGTCCCAGTGGGAAGAAATGTCCAGGGAACCCAGGTGTGAGCACACAAGTCCCTGTCCCAGTGGGAAGAAATGTCCAGGGAACCCAGTGTGGGCTCACAAGTCCCTGTCCCAGTGGGAAGAAATGTCCAGGGAACCCAGGTGTGAGCCCACAAGTCCCTGTCCCAGTGGGAAGAAATGTCCAGGGAACCCAGGTGTGAGCCCACAAGTCCCTGTCCCAGTGGGAAGAAATGTCCAGGGAACCCAGGTGTGAGCCCACAAGTCCCTGTCCCAGTGGGAAGAAATGTCCAGGGAACCCAGGTGTGAGCCCACAAGTCCCTGTCCCAGTGGGAAGAAATGTCCAGGGAACCCAGGTGTGAGCCCACAAGTCCCTGTCCCAGTGGGAAGAAATGTCCAGGGAACCCAGGTGTGAGCCCACAAGTCCCTGTCCCAGTGGGAAGAAATGTCCTACTGCACTCCACACTTAACTCTCTTCATTTTTTCTCTCTTCCTCTCAAGAATCATACTTCTAGTAGCCCTCTTCCCTTTCCCTTTCTAGCATGTGACTAAAAAGGCAGGAGACATAAAACAATTGAACATAAAAATGTAAAAATCTATTCCAAAAGCAATTTTAAAAATAAAAAATATTCACAATATATTCATCTAGCAAGGAAGTTATAACCAGATTATATATTGACTTTCTAATCCCCTAAGACAGGCTGGCAAGATGGCTCGGAAGTTCAAGGTGCTTGCTGTTCTTCCAGAGGACCTGAGTTTGGTTCCTCACATCCAGGTCAGGTGGTTTGCAGCCCTGTAACTCCAGCTCCTGGGAATCCAAATCCCTTTTCTGGCTTCCTTGGACGGACACACACACACACACACACACACACACACACACACACACACACACGAGTAAATAAAATATTTTTTAATTCAATAAAATAGTCTGAATTTTTTAGTAAATAAAAGAATATAGACCACAAGGGGAATGTGGAAATGGCCAGTGGTACATGCAGAGAGAGACTTTCCCTCATTAGTTATTTGTGAAATTTGAGTTAAACCCACAGAGAGAACAACAGCACTGTTAAAGTGGTTAACATTTCAAAGCGCTGGCTAGGGTTTGCAGCAATTGGCAATTGGCCCTCTCCACAAGGCGAAAAGGAGCACTGCTTTGGAAAACAATTTATCAACGTATTTAAAAGATCAACACCTTTTGTTGTCATATGGCCCAGCAGTTTCCTCCTTTGTATTTAACCAAGGCAAATAAAAACATATGCCCACACAAAGAATTAGACACAGATATTCATAACAGCTTTAGTCATAGTAGCACTGAACTAAAAATAACCCACGTGTCTACTAACACATGAATGAATAGACAAATGGTAGTGTATTTGTTTAATAGGCTATTACTCAGCAGTATAAAGAGATAAGCAATTGTCCATTCAACATAAATGAATCTCATAAACTTAGTATTGAGCTAAAGCAGCCAAACAAAATATATAATGTATGAATTTTTATGATACTAAAAAGAAATAAAACTACATCGACAACATTGCTTAAAGCTAATGATGTCTTTGGGGAGGACAGTCTAAAACAAAACAGGGACCCTGTTCATTGTGATTGCAGTTTTCACACTAAATGAAAAAATGGATTAACTTATGTATGAATTATTACTTGAAGTTAATCTTAAAATACCCTGCATAATATTTTAAGTGTACATTTACATATTAGTGATGACATGAAACCCAATATTATGGCAGAGGTGAGTTTTATTTTGTGGTTAATAATCTCCCTTTCAATGTCCCTTTAAAAGCACTGAATTTGAGTTGCTTCTTAGCCCTTTGGCTGAGATCAGTGTAAAGCATGGAAGTTGACACAAGATTGTACCTTGTTTTCACAATACTGATGTGTCTTATAAATTCAAAATGTGACATTTTGAAAAAATATTAAATACTTCAGAATAAATCATACCAACAGATTCATTAATGAATAATTTGCTATGTACTAGTTGTAAATAGACTATACCAATGAGTGGGAAAAAAAGAGTATATCCTCATGAAGCAGAATTTTAGAGGGGATAAAGAAAAATAGTCTTACAAGTAAACAAGGTATATTCTCTATCTTGGAGTAATAAGATATTATTAGTAATAACACTATCATCATGGTGGGAAGCATGGTGGCACACAGACAGACATAGTGCTGGAGGGCCAGCTAAGAGTTCTACATCTTGATTTACAGGCAACAGGAAGTATACTGAGACAGAGGGCAGTATCTTGAGCATAAATGAGAACTCAAAGTCTGTTTCCACAATGACACACTTCCTCCAACAGCCCATATCTACTCCAACAAAGCCACACCTCCTAATAGTGTCACTCCCTGTGAAATTATGGGGGCCAATTGTTACAGAATTTCTGTCACCAGTCCGGTAGCCAATAATGTGCAAGGTAGAAGGCTGCCATCCTCAGATGCTAGAGGTGACTTGTCAATTATGCTTTGGTGCCTTGGACAGGGATTGAGATTCTTCAAGGCTTCCAGAGTTTCAGGGAGCCTGGGGTTGGTGTTTTGGGTGAACTCTGCCTCCCCTCCTTTCTATGGACCTTGAACAACTGCTTGTGCTTCATCTTAACGTCTGAGTCTGTCAGCCAGGTACTGGTAAATCGACTTTTTCTTGGCTTTTTATTTTAGCTCTGGAGGGGGCATTGATCCCAGAAGGATCTGGTTGAGGACTCCAAGGAATTAAGAAAGACCCTGGATGGCTAGCTGGGTGTGCACCTGGGAGCTCTATGTATCCTGGACATCTGGAGACAGAGGAATCTTCAATAAGCAGAGGAATATGAATAGGAGTCTGGGTGCTGCATCTCCTTCTCCAAGGAGTGCTGAATGAACCAAGTCTCAACTTGTTCCTCGGTCAGGTCAAGTTTGGTGGCCAGATCCCTTCAAGACTGGAGGTCTGGGTGTGGCTCCTTTTCGAAGTATTGTTCCAGTTGCCATGTAGGGTATGTGGGATAGAGAAGGTGGAGTTGCTCCCATCTTGTCTGTAGCTCACTTCAGGTGGTCTGAGAACTGAGGCAAGTGTAAAGTTTTATATGTAACTTATCTTTAATTCTAACTGAGAAAAACAATAACCATAACCATGTGTCTTCAACTCCATCAAAGACCTCAGAAGGATAATATATAAACTGTCTAGAATTGACAGAGACATCTTGCTGCCTGATCAGTCACCCAAAGTTTCTCTGTAACGTTGGGTCATGCATCTTCAGCCTAGAGTGTCTGGCAGACATTTTAGCAAAGCAGGAAATTTGAAACTGTCCTGCCTGTATTGACAGTTTGTCAGTCATTTTTCTCTGTGTCATGCAGAATGTCTG